TCATTTAGCGGCAGGCACACGCACAACACCAGGTGCCCAGCAAGGCCACCAGTGAGCAGACGTGGCCCCCACACTCTGGGTCCAACAGCTGTGAGCGTCACTGCCAAGCTCAGTGGTGGAGAGCAAGTACCTGCCTGCTTCTGCAGAGGGCTCTGCTGCTCACACTCACTTGGGCCAGACAAAACCCAGCCCTTAACCCCTTTGTAGTTCCTTCCTCCCCACCTCAGGCCCAGCTGCCGTCTCTGGGCACACCACACTCCCGTGTCTCACAAGGGCTTTAAAGCCCCACCGCGTCGGACCTGCAGAAGCTGGTGTGCAGCCCGGCACGAGCCCTGCCCCTCAGCCAAAGCAAAGGACAGACACCTACAGCCAGGCAGACATGTTGCTGGTTTATTAACGTCAGTTTAGCAACTGGAACAACAGACCTCACCAGCTTGACCTGCAGTGCTCCTTCATGAATAAGCAAACAAGACAAGCCTTTACGAAACTGAAAGGCGTTGCTTGTTGTTGCTCAAACTAACAGGAAGCCTTCCCAAAGCCAGTTCCTTTTCTGCACACACGAAGGTAACCACCCGTACAGAAGCCTCAGATACCAATGTCAGCTCGTGTTGATCTGAATACTCCTCCCAAGCGTGGCTCGTTCAACAAGCAAGTCCATGAATTTGGCCAGGGTAACAATACACAATCCTTCATACCAGCACAGCTAAGGACACAAGGAAGAAACTCTTTGCATTAAAAAAAAGCCCCCAAAAAACTGGAACATCCTCCTGCAAGACAGCAGGCATTGCACCATATGCTGTCTCAGGAAGAAACACAGACACTACCCCTCTGCCAGGCACCACGGTGACCTGGGATCACACAAGGCATGCCGAAAGCAGCCCCAGCACAAGACCCAAGGCTGGGAGTTCAGCCCCAGCACCCTGACAGCTCAGGCTGGCCCCAAACAGCTCGTTTCAGAGTCACACAAAAACAGGTCAAAATAGTGACTTCTCACTTCCAGTTCATTCCCAGGACACTCTTGGGTCAAGGCCACCTGCTTGCCCAAGCCCAGGCACTGGGGATGAGGTTTCTATGGCTATTCTAGGACTCAACAGAAGTGGGCAAAATACATTAAAATAGCTGTAACTCGAGCACATTGTCTGGGAGAATTTCTCCCCCAGAAACCCTGCTCCCCCGGAGCCAGGGGTGCGAGGAGTCTAAACTCCCGAGCTAACTAATCTTTGGACGCTTAGGACTATTTACATATAGTCATGCTGAGCAAAGCAGGATGCAAGGAGGAACTGGGGCTAATCTGTAACTAGATTATCTCCTCTGCACACGTTACCAGCGGTTTTTCCACCTCCCAATCGAGCAAAGTTCAGTTTCATTTCTCATCACTCCTCAGCTGTTTTAACTCCCTTCAAACCAGGGCGACATCCCAGCCGGCAAATGACCCGGCCGAGAGCTCAGGCGCCCGCCCCCCTGCCCTTGCTGAGGGGTTGGGGGTGGCGCAGAGGCCTTGCTCCAGCCTCAAGGGCCAGCTCGG